TTTCTTTAACTTTACCAGAAATTTTATTTTAAGAAAAAGTAAAGATAATCTGCTTTTTTTGTTTCTATACAAAATGGCAGTAATAAAAATTGAGTATATCAGGCAAGAGTAAACGAATAAGCAAGCATAATTATTATTTCATTAGTAATTAAGATAATTTTAAAAAGTTTAAAATTTACTCATTCGATATTAAGATTGGAAAAAACTGCAGGTTTAAAAACCACTGTTTTGAAGAAGAAAAAAAAACAGTTTTGAATTTTACCGAAACTAACATTGATGTCAATATCTTTGTGTTATATATTCCGTAAAATTTCCAAATTAAAAATTTTTTTTTCTAAATGTACACATTTTCACTCTTTAAAAGATACAAAACGTATTATTGCAAACTAAAACCTTCATTACTTGAAACTTGCTAACGCATAAATTTGTTTATGGAGCTTATATATAAAAATAACTTTCCTATTTTAAATTTTAGAATAAAATGTTATTACTTTAAATCAATACATAACAAACAGTAAATTTCTAAGAAAAGTAATATATTTTGGACTACAACTTATAGAAATACTTTATTTATCTAATATTATATCATTGACATTCTCTGTTTGCCATAAATTAAAATTATTTTTTTTCAATTAACTACTAAATTGCATTATCAAAAACCAAGCTGAAATTCTTCTAAGAAAATGAATGAGTGTTTTAAAACACCCACGCAAAGCAAAACATTTTTTTCTACTGTACTTCCGGATTGATAAGGCTTCCTTGACTCAGAGTGAATGTGTTAACAATATAATTTTATTTTTTATTTGAACTCAAGTTTTAGATTTTTTCTCTTGATCTTTGACCAAATTTAGTGCTCTATATCCTGACCATAACGCTTTATGAACCAATTATAACGATTTATAAAGTGTTGATCAACGGATTAAGAATATTTGTCACTGTTTATGAGGTCCGGGATAATACCAGCACTAATTAATAACATATTTTATTGGCAAAACAACATTAACAATGGTATATGATTAACAAGCAGACATATAAAAATCTTACATACAGATCACGTTCTGAAAAGCAAACTAATATAGAAGTATTTGGGGGAGGTTATCCAATTGAGGCGCGCATGCGCTAGCATCTAAGTTTCAGCTCTGATATTAACTTACCTCAATGAAAACCGCTTAGTTCAAGCAGCTTTCAACGTAACAACTCAGTGTTTAATTTACGTTATTTACTTGCCCTTTAAATTCTATCAAAAACAAATTTTTTTCCCAAGTCATTTAATTAAATTCAGAAAATCAATGCATATCTAAGCATTATTGTAAGATTTGTGAACAACATTGTGGAAAAATAAGAATGCTATAAAATTTGAAAGACATGAAATTTATCTGGAGCTATATATTTTTTTAAAATAATGTTATAAAAATTAAAAAAAAAGAGAGAGAGAGGTAAAATTTTGAATATCATAAGCATTTTTTAAATATTTATATTTATGGATTTTTATTCTAAACAATCAATCAATTTGTTTGACAAATATTTTAATTTATTAATTTTTTGGTGTTCATTTGCAAATGATTTAATAAAATTAGATTGCATGCATCACATAAAAATCAATTTAGATAATTGATAGAAAATAATATTAGTGATGTGGAGAAATAAATGTGCGCAAAGATTAAATTTATTGATAGCAAAGCATATTTTTATTTACGCTACTCTAAATTTTTGAATAGTATGCAATGTAAATGATGAAAGAAATTTTGCAAGACAAATGCGTCAACGGTCGATTAAATAAAATGTTCCTTCAAAAGTTTCCAAGAACTTATAATATCTTCCTTGACTTAAAATCTTAACAATTTTTATCGTATTTTTGGTTTCGATTATTTATTATTTCTTTTACAAAATAGCAGTAGAATGAAAGAAAAAATATTGATAAAATGGGAATTCATAATTTTATTAAATTACAGTGCAACGGTAACTATATTGGTAATAAACATTTGTATTTACTGTAGTTGATTTAAACAAATTCTGTGAACCTAAACTCATCTCTTGCCGATTAAAAAAGACTTCTAAATTTGGCTAATTTTTACATCTAAAATAAACTTTATTTACTCTAAAATTTGGCTACTGTTAGAATCTGTTTCAATTTACTTCCGATTTACTTATAAACTTAAAATTTTGTATAACAAGTGTAATTTCTGTTTTTCGTAGAATTTTGAAAGTTTAAAAAAAATGACTGTGATATTGAATAAAAAATATCTCTAAAGTAAACGTTCATAATTTTATTTATCAAAAACTATAAACGTATAACGTATTGTATCAAAAACTATAAACGTATAACGTATTGTATCAAAAACTATGAACGTATAACGTATTGTATCTAAAACTATAAACGCATATAAATTGGTGAATGCTAGAAACTGTATTGATAATAAACTTAACTTTTACATAATCCAGTAGATAAAAAAATTTCTGAAAAAGTAAACGAAATTATGTTCTAATGGAGCTGACCGGCCTGTGTAGGAGTCAGAGAACTGCATCTTGCATCAAGAAGGTTCTAGGTTCGAATCCCGGGCACGGCATGGATTTTCTTTCGCTCTCTGTCTATATGTCCTTACTGCGGGAGCAACGTTGGCCCACCTAATATGGTGCCGCTGAAAGAGTGGCCAACCTGTATGACGAAAGATTTTTCTCCAGGTGGGCATTGGAAAAAAAGTGTTCGAATGGTCGATTAATAATCATTTCTTGAAAGTTTGACCAACCATGAAATCGATAATTTCTTCATTGTATTTCCGATTTATTTAGAAACTCATAAAGTTTATTCCTGATGTTTTCTAATTCACGACAAATTTTTTTATGTTTATTTTAACAAAAGAGTTGAATAAAATATAAAATCAGTTCTAATCATCCTTGTCTATTTAGTAATACTAAAATGCTCCATTTTTTTTATATTTTTTATCATTATAGTGTTTAATTATAAAGCGTGAATAAAACATGAGCCTGAATAGTAGGCTAAAAAAATTGTGTCAATTAACAATAAAATTACTGTTTCGATATTATTTACAAGTTTCATCTTTGAAAAACTGACAATTTACAACCATCTTTTATTTGTTTATTTGCTTTTTAGTAAGTAACGAATAGAATCGAAATTGAAATATGCCGATGAAAAAAAGTGCCTGAAAATAAAATTGATATATTTTTAGTAATGAATTAAAAGTTAAAGTAGTATGTTTTAAATTTCTAGCAATGACTGATTAACGTTTAAGTTTAAAATCGACTGAAAGTGCAAATAAGTTATACATCACTAAGTTTTGAATGTATTTTTAGTGAGGTGTAATTGCCCGTGGTAAGCAAAATTTTTTAAGATATTTACTAATTATTTCGACAACCTAATTGTATATTAGTTTTCTGCAGTACATTTATAAAAATATTGGAAAATTGCTAAAAACCCTATGAGTTAATGCAAAAAATATCAAAATATACTTGCAACTTTTTTAAATGTATACATCCATGTATACATTTAATACTCTTTCCATGTGTACTCTTTTCTTAATAGTGTAAAGATCATAAAAATAAGGAGCGGTTTAGTTGTTTTCTGTTTGAACTTTAGATTTTTCACATCAGTTTTCAAATATATTTAAAATATATTAGATATTTTCTCAAAATATAGAGTAGCTTATTTTTACTCTTAACCCCTTTAAATTTCGTTACATAAACTGATTCTACGAATAAATTTTATTTATAAGAATAAATTTCTATGAATAAATTTTATCCATAAACTCTAAAAAGCTTTACACGTTTAATAGTTTGACAATAATTGATTTTCTATAGATATTTTTTTAACAATTATTCATTTTCTAGAAATTCTTTGTTTCTGACATATTATTGTGATATTATTTGTATGTCTCAGGCTAATTGAAAACTCAGGCTAATTGAAAATTCCAGACTTATTGAAAACAGCTGTTTGCGAATCTTATAATCTTTTTACATTGCATGAGCTTAAGTGGTATTTTCTGATCTTCCTGATATTTTACAGGCTTTATTACAATAAGCGTATAGGCTTTTAGGCTAATTAGAAATGAGCTAAGAATTACTCGAACAGATTGAATTTTCTTAAACTTAATGCGATAAACTTTTAATAAGACTGAATGTGGAGACTGAATGAGGCTAGCAGAGTCACCATAGAAATAAACTAACTGGCCACTGAATAATATATTTCCTAATAAGTCTAAACGTATTGAGTTGGCAAGAAAGTAAACAGATTAGTGTGAAATAAAAGTCAATTTTTTTCTACCCAATCAAAAAGCAATCGAATATCTTTCAATCAGTTTGATGATCTCCTGCTATCGTTCTGGTAACTTCATGATCCCGCCCTCATAGAACTAATGGTCTTTATCAGCAAAAAATTCAACCAAGTAGGATTCGAGGTCATTTTTATTACTGGTCATCGTTTCGAGGTCATCATTTTGTAAACTTTAAAGTAAATGATAATATTATTGGGCAAAGTTGGGCTATATGGAGATGCAACATCATTTTCCGACCGAGATCCAATAATTTCGTAAGTGTTGTTAATTATGTGTGAGACGTCGCATTATCGTGATGGAATGCAATATTTTATTTCAAAGTATACACAACTTTTTCAATGGTAAAAATTTCAGCAATGACGACGACCTCAAATGACACTTTTGCAGATGAGGTCAAAAATTTCTATGAGCTCTGGTTTGTGAAGTTATCTGAAAGATGACAAAAGGTCATTGAACAGAATGTAAGATATTCGAATGATTAAAGTTCATTTTTTATATAAAAAAATACACTTAAAAACGAAATTACTTTATTGCCCACCCTAAACATAGAATAACTGCAATAACACTAAAAAGTGTTGATTAGAAAAGACTGGAGATTTTTCCAATTAGCCTGACTTTTAGCAAACTTACTGTGGTTGTTTGTAGAAAGCCTATTCGATAAGTTAGTTTTTTGCTCACAAATGAACTAATTATTTCAATAATTTTATTTAGAAACTGTGTATCTCTTGTTTCCTGCGTCAGCACTAAGACCAGCCCAATATTCGCCGTATGACTGGAGAAATAGACGAAGGAGAAGGAGATATGTAAGTTTAAAAAAATTAAACTGATTTATTATTTGCATCACATTAAAATCTAATCAAAACTTTTGTTGATTAAGTCCTAGTTTGGTAAAGTCTTTGGCTTTGTCTGAGTAAAATTTAAAATGTCTTTTTAAAATTTAAAATGTTTTATTCGATGGCTGATTGGTAGCATTTATCATTAAATGCGTGTAATAAACTATTTTCCTTTCATTCTTCTTAAAACTTCCGCAAAACTTTTCAGTTTCTTTAGAAAATAGTTAGTTCTTATCATTATGAAAATTATTTCATTTATAGTAAACATTGATTTTAAGTCAACGTTTTTAAGTAATATTGCATCTTAATTAGTTGGCAGAATAGAGACTGCGGTAAAAATATGGCAACTCATTCATTTGAATATAATCTTAGTAATGCATAAATGTCATGACATTAATAGTTTTATTTTAAAATTCAAGTGAAGGTAAATGAAATGAGAGTTAAATAATTAAAATATTTTGCGAAAGATAAAACGTGTAACTTTAAACTTCAAGCATATTATATTAAAATTGACTTCAACGGTCAGTGGAGGTACTTAATATTTATTGTGCGGTTGGAATCTATTTTAAGAATTGCGATTTCGGTAACAAACATTTTTTTGAGAAAAGTTTTAATTATGTATTTATTGAGAAACGGATTAGAAAGTACAAATTTAAGAGTTAAATTATACTGAAAAATGTCATGCCCATTAATGGCATACTGCACAGTTAATAGAAAATGATAACAAACAATAATATAAATATTTAATGAATGAATTCTTACGCAAAATTATTTTGAAATAGCCTCTTTTGCTATTTCGGGTATTCAGAACCTCAAATAAGTCATCAGTTACAACTTCAGCGTGATAGATGTTTTCAAAACTTAGAATTTTTGTAGGATTTAGTACAGACCCTAACATAAAAAACCGATTTTATTCTTCAATTAATCTATATAAAAAAGAAATTTTTATGCTAAGTAATTTTGAGCCTAATACTAGATTATTGTTATTTTATTATGATAAAAAAATTTCGATTAACTAAATACTTTAATATTTTTTATTAGCTAAATACTTATTACTACTAAGCGAAATTTAGTTAGAGTTTAAATTACTCTCTTTCAAACATTCGAACTGATTTGGCAAATATGTTGCTTCATGGGCAAAATTTCTCCATGTAGGCCAGTTTTATTAGTTTCGAATGATTCTCGATGACCATATTGTTTTTGAAAATTATATAGAGCTTGCTATATCATCAAGCTTTTAGATAAATTCCATAGTTTGTGACTTTTATAGCGTTAAAGGTTTATGCTGATTTATGTAAAATGCCTCCTCTGTGTACCTCTTTTTATTGGATCTGTTGAGAAAGTTGTTTGTTATTTATGAACACAACAATGTTCATTAGCAATATTCAATTATATTGCCAATGAACATTTTGGCAATATTCAATTATATTGCCAATGAACATTATTGAGCTCATAAATAACAAACAACTTTCTCAACATATCAATATTCAAGTCCCGCAGTAGACTGATTGTAAAGACACGGTTCCCAGTAGAACACCGAAGTCAAACATCACTGGCTGCGGTCAGTAAGTGGGTGGGTGATCACTTTGATCAACCTGCGTAGGGACCGAGGGAGCACGGTATCGGCCCTCCTTAAACTGTTCGACCGTAAAGTGCTCGGTTTCGCGCTCAGGTCGTCGGGCTACAGAAGCAGGGGAGCCATCCCCTTTGCAGAGGATCAAAATTCTGATGGTATTCTTCGGATCATCCTCAGGGATGTTTCCCAGATCGTCACCAATAGCCCATTGCGCAGCTCTAGTGCGACGTAAATAAAATACATACCATTGGCAATATTCAAGTCAAAGAATCAAATGCAAGCTCTCATTGCAAACGCCAAGCAATCATATATATCACAACTACGTTGTTAACGATATTCTATTTTTTTTACTATGGTTACTACAAATAATTATTTACAATTATAAGTTTGAAATAAACGTAAATAGTACAAAAGAGGAAAAAAACGAAAAGTTATTTGACTGAGCTAAAACCTTCTCACTGTAGAACTACTTACCGCAATTTTGTCGCGCTCTATATTATAATGAATTTCTGCAATAATTTATAATATTCTTATTTTTGTTCTTGTTTTAATGTAGTTTTAACAATTATTTTAGAATGGATATGCTGAGTATGCAGTGATACCGGAAAAGTCAAATGTTGAGGATAAACCTAATGAAAAAATAGAAACTCCAGCAAGAAGCATACCAAGACAATTTGAAAAAACGAGTTCTGAAAAGATTGATGTTCCCAAGCACACCGCTCAAAAGCAGGATAATCAAAACACAGATAAAAAACTAGATGACAATATTGGATTAAACAATAAAATGGGATTATCAAAAAGCGAAAGAAATGAAGAACCTCCCAACAGACAGAAGAAAGTAGTTGACGTTTGTGATGTGCATAGCAATATTTCGAAGCAGGAGTTGAAAAATATTTTGAATGACAAGAACTTGTCAAAAAATGACTGTGACCTTCCAAATAGCTCATCTGCGACTGATTTTGAAACAAACAATATGATACAAGAACATGAAGTGTCTCGATTCGAATCAAACTCAAATGGGAAATGTCATGAGCCAATTGAAACAGAGTTTACAGACAAGTTGATTGGAAATGAAAAGGAAAATCCAATAAAGAGCGAGAATGATGCCTGTGATGCTGCATACAACAGTCCAAACAATACATTTTCTGATGTTCAAGCATCTTGCAAAATATTTGATCCAATTGAAGAGGAAAATGAAAAGAAGGACGCAGTTAATGAAGAATCCACATTATTTTCAAATTGCAATAAAACGTCTGATATAATTTGCGACAATGCAGAATCCGATCAAAGCAATTTTAACCCATCGTCCTTGCCTGATATCATAAGTACTGTGAATAAAATTATTACGGATATTGATGAAAACAATGTCAGTGCAACGTTATCGAATAACAATCGAACTCAAAACTTTAGTTCCATACACAACACAAAAAATATTAATGAATGTGTTTCTAAAATCCCATCTGTTTCTGCAACACGATCTGCATATTTGCCATATCTTTATAATACAAATTCAGATGCTTTAAGTTCTGAGAGCAAAATCATTGATAATACATTACCAAAAACACATTCTTTGTATACCAATAACTCAATTTATAAGTTAGCCTTTGACGAAAGTCTCGAAGATCTATCCGACACAGAAAGCAGATCTCCAAGTCCAATTGTACGATGCCCTGTTGATAAAAATCGGGTTGATCGTGGATCAATTGATCCAGAATCTCAAGTGCCATCAAGTCTTATGAGCAATGAAATTAACGTATATGAAGCTGATAGTGGAGATGACGCTGGCTCAGAAGATTTAGAACTTATACCCCACCGTTATGAAAGTGAGAGCTTCCTGAATAAAAGCAAGCATCTTTACGAAAATAAGCTTTCTTTAGCCGTCGAGCTTCTAAGAACGAAGGAAAGTCTTCCATACGATGCTCAGTTCAAGAGGGTGATTGAAGAAAGTCAAGAATCTGCGAAAACAGAAAGTTGTAGAACTGGGGAAGTGAACATGGGTTTTGTTGATGATTTTAATTCTTTGGATGGGATTGAATTGAAAAGCAATAATTTAGCATTTAACCAGTCTGATCATGAAGCCATCACAAAGCAAAGCAAAATTCATAAGCAAACATCTCCAAGTTACGATATTCCTTTGGATGATTCCTTCACAAATTCATATGAATTAGCTGATGAAGCTATTGCACAATCTGCGAATCACCAGGTCAGTTCTTTTACAAAATGCGTTCAAGTTCTTAACCAGTGCTTCGTACATTTCTTGAAATTTACAAGTGGGTGATAAAAAAATTTAGTTGTAATCCATTAGAGGTGCATCTTAATTGGTCATTAGCAAGAATACATAAAAAATATTTTCGGAGAGGGAATTTTGTACTTTTAGTAATAAATATTTTAATTTATGTATTTCTGTTTTCCGAAATTCCTGTTATTTACAGACTACCTTTTAAACATTGCAAAAGATTCAATATTGTCACATTTGTTCGCTCAATACTAAAAGATTGTACATTTATGAATATTTTTTGAATGATGCAATTTCGAGTGATATACGATACTAAAACACTCATACTTTAGTCTTCGATGATTATTCGATAATTATTAAAATATGTTTGTATGTTTCTTCAAGATGGAAAAGTTTACCAGTTTTAATTGAAATTAGTGTAATGAAATTAATCAATAACTACTGTTTGTCTATGCGCTTTTAATAACAAAAAACTGTATTTTGCTTCTAAGGTCATCACTTTTTTATTTTTATTTTGGCTATGGAAATTTTCTTTATGTGAGAGTAGTTATAAATAATGGTTATGGGTTTATCAATAATATAGTTTTTAGTAATACTCAACATATTTATGTAGTTTTGTGGCTCCCAAATTCAGTTACATATTTTACATTTACATTTTCTTATTTAATAATAAATATTAGTATAGAAACTTAAGCACTGGTTGTTCCAAAAAGTAACTTCTCTTAATTTATTTTTATACGTGGTCGGTTGTGTTTGGTAGGGTGTTCTACTCATGCGTGTGTAGTTGTCTAAGATCATCCGGTGAACAAGGATAAATTCCTGAAACACAAGGCCGCCATGCTTTGGAAATTTTTTCTATAAAAAAGGCGGAATTTGGTGATGATTTTTCCTCGAAACGCCAAATCTATCTATGAAACAAGGTATTCTTTGAAGGTCATGAAGAGGTCAGTGATGAAGTTTTCAGAGGTACCAACGATTCTCCAGGTGACTTACAATCCCTATGTCCCCTAGTCATCTTTTTGTTCCAGCACTTGAAAACTCTCGCGAAAGAACAGCCCTTAACAGCAATTGAGAAAGTAACGAGTCATTGCTCTAATATATATTCTAGAAAAAGCCAGAATATCTATGAATTCCTCGTTTACTATTAGATGACTGAGCGACCACGCTCGCGTAAACTGACCACCTCCTTTTCCTATTACAACCGATCTGAGAGTGCTGGAACGCATACAAGATTTTCAATAAATTCAGTAACATTACTTTCTGGAAACAAACTGTATTGGCATAATATGGTAGGTATTATTTCATTTTACCCCTTACTTTATAAAATGAAAGACCACGTAGAAAACTACACTTCTACGTTGGACATTTTCTACTTACAATTTCTGAATTTCGTGCGTTCTTCCAGTATTTTATTTTTTAAAGCAAATGACTGCTTTTCGGTCACAAATCGATTTGTTTTTGAAACACCACACTATTCGAAATTTACTACATAGAACGTTGAACATGTAAACAGATATGACGAAACAGTTAACATTATAATCTTTTAAGACCCAAACCCAAATATTGCATGACTTTTTATTAAGATTAAAAATTAAAAATTTTAAAAATTAAGATTAAAAATTTTCATTATGAACTACTCAGTTTGCATTAAATGTGTTATTATTAAGATTATTGTCACACGCATATTCTCACATATATTTTCACTTTCATTGACTATTACAATATTTTTTACATTTTGTTTTATCGAGATCACATTAAACGGAGATATTGAGTAAGTTTATGCATTTCTCATCATATTCTTCAACCATTTCAAATTCTTACTTTTAAATTTACCCCAGCTACTCTTTTCAATTTCTTTGGTCCACCTTGTTCGTTGTCCCTTCTTGGTTGTTTGATGGCACGAGGAACACTGGTGTAACAAAGCCTATCGCAGAATTTTTGGAGAAATAAGAATTCACGCCCCTTTCCCAATTTCAGTAATACGTTGATGTTTCAAAAAGTATTAGTAACGAAAATATTAGTGGTAGCATAATTCATTTTTAATTTTTTTGAGAAAAATGATATAAGAGCACTAATTTTTTGATCAGTCATAATTTATTTTAGCTTTAAAAATGCTGACAAAAAAACTAGCAAAAGTGAATTCGAGGACATAGGAGTTAAAATACAAAATATATGTAACAAATTATAGTTGAAGGTTGATAGTTCAGGTCAAAATTACGATCTGTGGATGAATGAATAGGTTCACCTTATAAATAGGTAGTAACGTATATGTGTGGCAAAAGTTGAATTCTTGGCCATAGATAGCGCCACACTAAACAAGAAGAAGCGCTCCCCCTTTGCCTTAAGCCTTAATAACGTACGAAAACAACGCACACACAAGCACAGACAGATATATATATATATA